AAAATTCCGTGTTGATCAAAAATTTTTTATTAGTGAGTGACACTTGACCCCCTGTAGATCCGCAATGTCCTGCGACTAATATAGAACATTATTTGTTACACATCCCGATTTAGCAAAATTCGTGTGAAATCCTAATTGGAACAACATTCGCGTCTTTTTTCTTAAAAACATTTTACCTATATAACTTTAAAACTTACTTTTTATTTACATCAAAAACTTATGTTTTTCTCTTTTACATTAAAGACTTTTTACGTTTCTTACCTAAAAACTTATGTGAAAAAAAACCTTAATAAATTAATATTATAAGATACTCTTTTTTACCTTAGTTGTATATAAGAAAATTTAATAGAATCTTTACCAAACAAGAGTAAGACAACTAATGAAATTAGTGATTTAAATTTAAATAAAATAAATTATCGAATTTTACTAACTGACTTATCAAAACTCACTGAATTTTTTAGATCATGATTCACGAATATTTCATGTGTAAATATACTGAATGGGACATCATCAAGTTTTTAGAACAATGCAACCTGAATACATTTGGAAAAAAAATAGAATGTTATCTTTTGTCTCTAGAAGAAATTGTGCAAAAGGAGAAAGGTAGAAGGAACTTAAAAGCAAGAGAACTCTTAAATGATTACAAAAAGGCAGGTATTGGAGTTTGAAAAAAAAAATTTTTTAAAAATATGTGGTGGGGTAGAGGAGCTTTTGAAAAAAAAAGCTTCTCTCTATCATAGTCTTCGAGACGAGCCACAAAGCTATGTTGGAGAGCAGGTGATCTTTGAGTTCACCTGATGTCAAGTCTTCATGACGATCTAACATAGCCCCTCAGGGCACAGGTAATCTTTGGGATTACTTGAGGTTAAGTCTTTGGGACAACCTGAGGGACAGATAAAAATCAGATGGAATGAGAACAGCTTAACTAACTAATTTTTCTTCTCATGTTTTATAAACATTTCATGCCAGGGGGGCATCTACTCAGATCGCCATTGTGCGAGGAAAGCAGAGATAGAAAGATGTTCAATTGAAAAAACCCCAATTCGGATCTACAATTCCAATATCACAGGAGTTAGAACCTTTAAAGGTGGGATGGAAACCATAAATGGAGGAATTTTTGGTGTTAATTTTTCAGAAGCCATTGATGATTTGCCTAAAAAAAGAGATGGAAAAGAAGAAATAGCAATAATAAAAAAAGTGAGTCCAGTTCTTTACGTTTGTCTAGTCTTTTATAAAGTTTTTTTAGCTTATTTATACTTTTGCACATGTTTATATTTTAAAAAATGCGAAAAGACAACAAGGTAAATGTTGATGATAATGAAAATCTTCAAGATGTTTTAGAAGACAAATCTTCTGAGTTTGAAATGGATGAAAATCAATCAAATGTTAATTCTAATGAAGAAGATGGAGTAGAAAGTGAAGAATATGAGAAAGAAGATCAGGAAAGTAATGAAAACGAAAAAGAGACTTGTGTTAAAGTTGATAAGAATGCATTTCGTCTAGCATTTGAAAAAACACCAGAATCATCTAAATTAAAATTAACTTCTGGAAAAGTAGTTGAAGACATACTTTTTAATTATGTAAAGGATCATGATTATGAACAGTTAAGTATTTAAAAAAATTTGATTGTTTTTCTATAATTCAAAATACTAACACTATATATATTTTTTTAATCATGCTCATTCTTATATTATAAACTGTGATGATCAAGAGATGAAAGCGTTGTTCAATAGCGAAGATTGGATGGAATTGACCAAAGATCATTTAGGCACTCCTGCGGTTCCAGTAAATATTAGCATAATGGACATTTGTTTATCACATCGTGACTTGGATTTCATTGGCTAAATTTTACGATGATCACCCTCCAAAAAATCACACAAAAATCAAATTTTATTGGCTTGAAGATCTTTTACAAAAACACATAATTTATAATTTATATATATATACAACTTTAAACAATTACTATTAATAAAAAATTTTATTTTTCAAATTGTCAAATATTAAAATTGTTTTAGGATGGTCAACATCCAATGTAGTTAATTGAATATGAATATAAAATGTATGCATAAAATCATAATAAATAGTTTCCTTTGCAATCCCAATCATTTTTCCTCTTTGCATTGGGTGGGTAATTAACCAAATATGAAGAAGAATGCACTTCAAAAATTATAAATGCTACAATTATGAATACATGTGTTTTTTTCCTACCAAAAAAATGTAGATTTCCCATCTAATATTAACACATTCACATCATTTTGAATGATATCAATTATTCATATGCCTATATATCCCTTCCACATATAAATTGAATTTTACATCATGATCAACCTTTAATGTTATTAAATATGCAATGAAGTATACCTATTATTTATATTAGTTGTAATACACCTTATTATCTATCTAAGTTTGATTTTCTTTGAGGATTCTCTGTTATCTTTGAAATAAATAAAAAAAATAGAATTGAGATATTTTTCCTTATATTTTTTAATAATAGTTGTATATATATACAGTATAAATAATAATAAATATATTGCTTCTTTACCTGCTTATTATGTCTATATATTAGTTTTTCTTTGAGGATTCTCTGTCATCCTTGAAATAATAAAAAATAGTTATATATATATATATATATTTTATTTTATAATCCAGTTTTGTTTTGTTTTTCTTTGAGAATTGTCATCTTTGAAATAATAATAAAAATAATTTTTAATAATAGTAGCATGGTGGACATTCGAATGTTGCACCATTTTTTTATGCCGTGTAATGTAATTTTTAAAGTAAAAAAACAGTGTGCTCAATTAAAATGGGTATACATTGACGCGTGACACGTCTGTAACTTTACAGAGATATTCTTTAACGTTTTTTAAATTTAATTCCAGCTGCATCCGTCG